TAATTACAAAATGTGTAACTAAATTTAAACGAATAAAATTTCAATATTTTAGTTACGTCCGGATGTATTTTTTAAATCAATCATTTCATGTACTGACGTTCTCGGCTTATACAGGGTGAGTTTTAAATGCGTAGTTATATTTTAACCCTCAATATATTTCGTCGTGTACAATTGCACTGTCAACCAAAATTTTTTGAACAAAAAATTTTTTTTTATTTCTGATAATTTTTTTCGTCCTCCAGTCACTGACATTTTGATAGTCACTGGATAACTTTGTAAACGCCGTTCACAGAAATGACGTAACTGAAGGCAGTGTTGCTACTGCCAGAGTTCGTCATCACAATTATCCTATAATTGCATACATTGCATGAATTACAAATTTTGAATTTTTTAAAAAATTATTACCCTTTTGTCACGGACATTTTGTGAGACGACGATATTAGACTTATTTAATATCAGTGTAGACGCCGCACCAAAACAAATGTAATAGTTTATAAAACATTAAGCTCTTTTTAAGAAAGCATGATATCTGTACAGTGTACACACTGGCCGAAAATAAGAAATAACCTTCAAGGCGGCCAAGGCGCGATTGATTAGTCCTTTGTGAAAAGCGACACTTGTCACTTGTAGCTTGCTCTTAAAATAAAAGGTGTTAAAAGTATCTGTTTATCTATTTTTCCTTGTAAAATTAGGTAATCCTGACACTTTTTTTATAAATAAACAGAACTCGTCCCGTAAGCACCAAATATTAAAAATATGCAATACTTTTTCTATTTTATAGTTTAAGTTTAATATGGTTCATTTCTAAAAATGAATCAAAGTTGAAAATAGTCATTTTAAAAAGACGCATTTACTTTAAAAGAACGAAAGATCAGATTTGTTTACTTACCTAATACAACAGTTACTACATGAATATATCAATCATATGGGCTTGACGGTTGGATAGCATTCCATAGCCGTTTTGCTTACCTAGCATTTTCATCTACTTGAAAATATGCCTTTAACATTAAAATAATAAAATTAGTCGCTATGGTTAATCACTAATTTTCACAAAATGAACCACCAAATGAACAAATTATAAATAATAAATTTCGATAACATAGTAACTCAAAACTTCGAATCACAAATTTAATCACAAAAATCTATAATACCGTTATTAAACACATTTTTGTAAATGCTAATGCAGACAGGTACGCGAGCTATAATAACACTGATTTTCACATGGGGTGTAGTGTTGCCAGATGTGTGAGATTTTCCCATAGGTTATAAATTTCATTATAAATAAATCATGATGCTTTTCAAAAAATTTCTATTGACCTAACTGACGGTTAATTTAGCTAACTGAGCATTGAAAAAACGGGTCTTACCATCGCAACAGAAACAACAGAAAACAGCAAAAGACTTATTTATTTGGGCTTGCACAACTAGCGCTGTTTACGCGAGGTTCCGATTTATAAAGATCTACGTACACGGTATAAAATTTAATTCGGTTTACTCTTTTTTAATGGAAGAACTGACCGAGGTCGGGGCTGACGACCTAAATTTAACTTTTTTATCAACTTTTGCTAATATTGGTGTAAAATGGTAGAAATTTTTAAATAATAGTTTTATTACTTAAAAAAAGTGCAGGTACACAAAGAAAATAATGGTATAAATACCATGAAAGTGGTATGTCTGGCAACACTGATTAGGTGCGTGGTCAGATGTGTGAAGATCATAGGTTACATATGCGACGCTAATATCGTAGTTCACATTATGGCGTGGTTGAATTTTTATCATGTATTGGCCTATCCCGAATAAAGTGCTGTTTTCTCAAGAAAAAATTGATCTTTTTTTATAAAAAATGACGTATACTATCCTCCTAACCGTCCAGAGTATTATGGAGGAATAAAATGCAAACTGTTGGGTATGACCAGTGTAATAAAAGTGACAGAAGTGTGTGAAAATACTACAAATTATTTTCCATCATCTGATATTGTGTTGCACCTTCAGTGTTTTATTATTAGAGGCCAATTAAAATAGTAGAGAGCTGATTTATTCCTTGAACACCTACACATTTCAAATTATTGTAATAGCAGAGGGTAAGTACCTACTTCTTAAAAATAATATTCCTTTTATAAACTTTGAAAAAAATGAGATGGGAACATTAAATTCCTCTCAAGATTCCCTAAAAAGTTTACTGTTCATCGAAAAATTTAGTTTTAGTTGTACATTCCATATGAAACGCTTAAAAAGAAATGTTGATTGGTGCAAGAAAAAGTCAAAATTTTACATTTCTCACATTGAAAAGTATTTCAAAATGTTTAAAACTTATTTCAAGTGGAGCAATTAATCGTTTAAGTAGCTAATTATTTCATCCAATGTAATTATAAATTCGGGAATGACTTAATGCTAGGGCTCGGTTTTTCAATCGTGAGTATGCTAAACACACTTTTAGAATTCGATTTTTCAATTTTACATTTGTTTTGAAAGTGGTTATAGCAACAAATATTTTATGCTAAAGTAACTATTAGTTGAAGTGGTTTGTATTAGAATCTCATCGATTTTTGTGAAAATATAATGCTAGGTAACCTTCAACTTATGTTAACTTACGATTGTAAAATCGCGCCTAGGTGAATTGCATAAGATATGCGGCAACGTTGCTTCAGTCCATTATATTATTTTTGCTAAGATATAGAGTGTTTCCAGTATCCAGCAGTTCCAAAACAGTTTCATCATATTTTTTTGAAAGTCGATAACTCATAATTGATTTCCATAAAACATTTTTAAGTTCAAACCTTCATTTATTATCACTTCATGTTGAATAAATAAATAAATACCAGCGTAGATACATATACCATATTTGCGCTATGAATATCATATGTGTATAATATACTAGTACAAATATAAATTAAATTTTTGTTGTGACAATTATATACCGCTTGCTGCGATTAAATATCTATCGGACTCGCCGACCCTCAACAGAACACGGCAAAGGCAATATTAATATTATCCTATTGATACTAGTCTAATTAGTCTACGCGATTTCATTTGCTGTTTTCTCAATAAATTGTTTTGTGGAAGTTGTCGTTATTTAAATTTTTATCCCATACTATCTACGCTTTTCATCTGTTGCTGTTTTCTGAATTTCTGATTAACAGTTGCTGCGAGAACATTTACTACGTCATATCGCTTATCTGTTATTTTCGAACAGAAGTAACATCCTGTTAACGTTATTTACAAATCGCATTTGTAAAATAACTGTTATTTACAAGTAACAGTTATAAAATAACTGTTATTTACAAATAACAGTTATAAATAACAGATTGTTAAATAACAACCCATATCTAGTGTTTCCAGCGACCAGTCAAACACAGACGCTATTGAGATGCGTACGTGCGGACGGAGATTATATTATTTTCTCAAGTGTGTACAATGTCAAAAGTGAAACGTTCTTTACCATTCGGCCCTCAAATATACAAATTTATCTCCCAATTTCCTGCACTTGATAGGCTGGAGTGTACATATGTAACTGCAGACAACATCGTTCCCAAAAATATCCGTACTGGAAATTAATCTGTCTAAATTTTTATGTTAAGCTTGTGTGGAATGCCTCAGTGGGTTAACAGATGTTCCTGGTGTTCTTGTTGCCGAGAAAATTAAAGATATTTTAAATAAAAATCCGTAAATTGACAAGTTGCGCAATATTAACAAGTGACACGTTACTTAGAACGATAATGTGCGTATGTAAATATTACATCTTTGGATGTAGAACGTTCATTTTCAAAATACGCCTTAATATTTACATCCCGGTGTAGAAATTTACCACAGGATATTATAGAAGGTCTATTAATGATGCAAGAGTACGCTGACAACCATAAACAACTGTTAATGGACATAATATAGCAGAGTAAAACTTCGCAAGTTACACCATGCTTCACACCGACGCGACGTCAGTCAATTTCTTAAAACGAGCCGGGTTTATATTACAAACATTTACAACCAACTTGAATGCTTGTAAATCAGAGTGTGAAAATAGTATGAATAGTGACAGAGGGTCAATTCCAAATAGCCCGCTTTATCGGTTAGTGGGTTACGGTCATCGAACCGTGACAATAGTTTAGGTATAAATAGGGTAGATTATTAGCATAAGTTTAGTTTTAATCATCTCCAGATGATGCCAACTTGGTTGGCGAAACGCGCGTCGAATGCAGTATATGGTATTTGTTGCTTCGTGGAAAACTACGTCAGTGTTAAATATAGGAATTGAATAAAAGTGAAACTTATTTTAAATAATTATTATACACATGTATTTGTAATTTAAATAGTTTAAGATGAACCGTAATATTTGATGTGTCACAAAGAGTACATATAATTTTATTCCCAAGATCTCATTCACGAGGGAATTAGATTTTATAGTTATTTTAATTGCTTGTTTAATTTTCTCGTATTAAATATAATAGAAACGAAAAAAAATGTAATTATACCTTGTTATATAAATATCTAACCGTAGTGTGTTATTATTTTATTAAAGTTATACAGTCGTAAATAAAAAAAAACTTTGTAAATTAGAAAATTTTGTAATCTGGTCCATTTTTTTAATCTTCTTGCGTCCTGCCGGAGTTTAGCACATCGCTACTATTTCGTGTTCTGCCACACAACAACGCTTTAGTCAATGAGGGCTACCGCGCTTGAAATCAACACGAGAGGCGCTAGTGTAGGGTAAGGTAAATGTCACTGAACGTTAATGTTTATTATGGCTTTTTAACGTGATTTTTATAAAAATTAGCTGGAAAATATTCAACACAATGATGACAGAAGGGAAAAGTAAGACTGAGACATAATTAACAAGGTTTTTATTTACTGGTGTACAAAATAATTATAATAACAGCCTATAAACTTGTTCCGCGCCTAACAATAACTTTTGACAGCTACCTTACTCGCCAGTGGTGCCAACTGGTGAGCCTAAAAACTCATTGTGCTACCGTCTCGGTATTTTAAAAAATACCACTATACATCCATGTCCCAGCCAGGATTCGAACCTGGAACCCCTCGGTCTCAAGCCCAACGTGTAAGCACTGAGCCACCCAGCAGACATTTTATCTAAATGTTTTGAATATACAGATCGAGCCAGAACCCTGGATACACGAATAGCGGTATGCGCAGTTTATAATTGCGCGTTTGAATACGAGATCCGAATGAAAGTAAACGATTACGTCAGGGCCCTTGCTGGGAGGAGCATACGAGACGAAGCAGATTTTAGTATCGCCGAAGCTACAGTGAAGAGTGTTGCTCGTTCATCTAAAGAAATCATTGTGTATTAACGTATTTACAAAAATTATCAAAGTGTTTCACAATTTCAGTACTTTTTCTGATGGTAAAACACTAAAATTATGAAAAAATATTAGAACAGCACACAATCCTATTGATTTTTTTCGAAACAAAAAGTGATTCTAAATACATATATTAATATTTTCATAAATAATAAAGAAAAATAATACCAACTCTAAAAAAATAAAATAATACGTAAATAAATAAATAAATAATTCAAATCTGATGCTCAAAGACATCCTTCCTGAGCAGGAAATTCCCTAACCTACTGTAAAAGATCCATCAGACATTTGCGCTGCGATCGCCCCATCATCGTGCTAGCAACAGACGGGCGACTGTAAACGCTAGTCGTGTATCTAATGGTCTGGCTTGGTCTGTATGACACTCGCTTAAGTCAGATATTTAAAGTTGCATTGACATAATATGTTATCGTATATTTTCGAAGAAATGTTCATGACTTTTTTTGTACAACCGATCACGCATAGGGATGTCTATCGCTAACGTTTCAAAATTTGTTAGTTGTAACTAGGCACATTTACCATTTCATGAAAATTATCATCGTTTTCCTGACGTACCTACTCGTTGGTACTATTTTTATTTAGATTTAAAAAAATCGCCATTCAATTGCCAATTGCCATTTTTTTTTAATTCCACTGATGAACATGGAAATGATTTTTGATATGTACAAATATTAAATATGGTTATGGGTTTAAAATGTCAACTCATGAAAAATTGCCAGACCATTATATTGTTTATTATTAAAGACCTTGAGTAAATAGTAGATTCCATATCTGTACATACATCGTACCGTACATGGTGAAAAATAGATGTTTTTGCAGAAACACAATTTTAACCCTTTCACTGCAGTGCTCGATTTCGCAATGTGGATCGTCAGAACGACTGTGGTAATCGCTTGCGGCAATATCCGCTTCCCGCAGTTAACCTCCAAAATGGTGCTTGTTATTTTTCGTTCTAAGAAAAATATGGAACGCCGACTTGGAGAACAATAAGGTACGTGTATTTTTCCATGTAACCAACGCAGCTTCTTATATGACAGTCTCTGCAATGCGCTTAAAAGTACATGCAAGTATGTATTCGGTAGTTCGTCTTCAAATAGTTTTCGTCGAGACGGCGCTTTTGAAAATGTCTTCACGCTGGCTATTAATCTGTTTATTATGGGATAGCATTCTAACAGTTTCTGCAATGTGATGGGAGTCCGTGTGTAAACATGTTATATACGTTTAGCACACGGACTCCTCCACCTCATTGCAGAAACTGTTAGAGACTGCTATCCCATAATAGACAGATTAATGGCCAGCGTGAAGAAGGCATTTTTAAAACGCCGTCTCGAGAAAACTATTTGAAGACGAAATGCTGAATACGCCATTACCACCACAGCGACGCGTTGAGGCACATGGTTAAAGGCGGCAAGCTATTATTATGTTCATTTTGATGATGTAGAGCTATTAAAGCGCCTGTGGCAAGTCAACAAAAATCTATTCGATCTTTTAAAGAATTTTTTCAAAACCTTTTTGTTTTTCATCCAAAGGGACTGAGACTTGCACAGGATATTTATTGCTTCTGTTATTTTGGATACTACAAAGTCGCCAATTAAAAGGGTCATTTATTATATATTTATAGTATGTGTATGTCAGCGCTATGTCCTGGATTAGCCCCTGGTTTTTACGTCACTACTAGTTACACATTTATTAATTATTATTTAACAAAGCTTTATTTTTGTAAGAAGAATATAAAATTTAATATATACGTAATTATTTTAGACCAATAAATTATATCTGGAGTTTTTTTTTTTTATAAAAGGTCCAATGTTTAGAAGAACTAGTTTTCAACTTGCCGACGTTTTGGTAAATTTATTTACCTTCAGGGCACTGCAAGATATAGTATTATGAAACATAGCAATTTATGAAAATGCACTAAAGACATACTTGTTTAATATTAGGCATTAAAAATGTAAAACAAAAAAAAAACAAAAATTATGTTATATATGTTATATGTGCAACAATCCGTGGTCTAAAATCATTGAATAAAACTCAGTCGAACTTTGCTCTGGATTTTGTTCAAAACTTCCCCGAACTTCGCTTAATAATTTTCCGGGTTTATACAGGGTGACCCAAATTGGTAGGCTTTGACGTGTTTCACTCACTATTGCATTAGATAGAGAAACTCTGACTGATTGAAATTCTCTGGGTCATTTTTCAACGCAAATTCAATTTGATTTAATTTCTTATTTGTGGATATTCTTTTAAACGGTAAGAACTTTCTAAAACAACTTTTTTAAGTAGATTAAATTTCTGAAAACAGTATATTCTACGACTCGTAGATTTTGCTCTATGCACGGAATTCCCACTTTTTTTAAATGGAAATTATAGTTGGCTTTGATCTCAAAAAGAAATTGTTGTTTTCGAGGTTTTCGTAAATATATATAGTTATATTAATAATAACCACGACATAATCACTTTTAATTTAAAATGGGATACGTGTTGAGATCGAGAAAAACAGTTAAATCTTTTTAGTGTCTTGGAATTTTTCAAAACGTAAATTTTGATTAAAATGAATAAAAGAAGTTGTGTTTATTATTATTTACAGTCATTTAGATTTTTTTTGTCTAAAACATAGATTGCTTTGGAAACAAAATATACTTTCATGCACAAAAGTTATATTTAAAAAAATATAGCAAATCAAATAGGAAAATTAAGGAACTTTTTTTCGCAGATTAAGATAGAGAAAGAATTTACATAATAACGGTTAAATACTTTAAAACTATGAAATACAAATTACTAAAGAAAATGACAGTTTTCTTAACATATTAATTTGAAATCATTTTCAAATTGCGATGCATTGAGATATATGCAATTTTGACACCTTTTTTTACGCGTCTAACAGTAGTAAGTTAACCTGCATCTCTACAAAAGAAGCGTATTAGGGACATTAGGGCATAAGTTGATTTCAAATTTTTTTGTTTCATTTCAGATCCTAAACCCATCTTGGCCGTTTGGGAATTAAAAACTGAACCACTTCTGTATATCAATTATTATAACCAGTAAATTAGTTGTTTAAATTATAAATTGGGCCGTGCTCTTAGGATATTGTAGTTTATACATTTGAATAGTAACCGATTTATTGTCATCATTCAGTCGGTAAATAGCAGCTGCATAATTTTGTTCCCTCAAGTTATATTTGACAAGAAAAAAACCTGTATTTCCTATTTAGGTTTGTAGTATTATTTAACAGAAACCTACGTTTCTTTCCAAATGTATAATGCATTACTACTATCACTGTCACCCACCCTAGTCATACGATAGACTATCGGCCTTGAAATTAAAGACAATACGGTATAAAATAGGAATTTTTCTCAAAACATACCGAGTAAGTAAGCGGTAACTTGTTGTTCTTCTCCATCTAATTCATGGTGACAAATATAGTTGGATACCGCTACTTATTTGGTACGTCGAGAAAATATCCTTAAGGCTGCATTTTGAACAGGTATCGCTCTTTCTCTTTCTACCAATGATGAACAAAAATGAAAACAATAGTCTCATTTAAAATAATATGCAGATTTAGTAGGTCAGATTATAGGCAAAACTATTGGGTCTATTATTTCATTAATGCGAAAAGTAACTTTTATAAAACGATACTAAATACTACGAGTAGGTATTTCGTACTAACGCAAAAATATACATAAGATTTACTTGTAATTTGATATAAATCTGCATTCTATTTAAAAATATACCATTGTTTTCGTTTTTAGTTATCATCAATCATCGATTGAACAAGTTTAAGATCGATTTATAAATTTATGTTGGATACTTAGTGAACGCAGCATAATGGTTCAAATTTAAAAAAAAATTACGCATAGAGGTCACAATTGAAGTTCTAAGAATTAGGTCTGAAATGGTTTCTAATAGATTAAAGTCTAGTGTATCTGTAAAAATAATGCTATGCTCTCCACTTTGATATACATACTAGGAGAACGGTCTCGTTTTTATTAGTTTAATAAAATTTAATATCAGTGTTTGAAAATCGGTATCCTTGTGCATATGTTCATTGCTTTAAAATTTACATCGCTCAAATTCAACAGCTACGAATGCAGAACGAATATAAGTTGTGACTAGTGATGCAAGCTAAGGAACGTTCTCGTTCGTGCTCAGAGAACATTCGCGTATATTCGTGAACGTTGCCATACCTTTGAGCATATTAGAGAACATTCTCGTGAAAGTACGCGAACGTTCTCTTCAAAATTCTCCAAGTCTTTGTTACATTCGCGAATAATCCTCAACATTTTCTTAAAATTGGGGAACGTTCCCGCCTTTAAAATACCCGCTTCATGAATGGTGGAGGAAAATTGGGTATAAGCGCCACCGACGACGGTACAACTCAGTACATATTTTGTGCGTCGTATAATACCACTCCATTATTACGCCACCCAATAAACATTTCAGGTTGTAATTTGGTCACGCGATTAAATTTCGAGTTGTAATATGGTCGCGCAGCCAAATCTCGAGTTGTAATTTGGCCATGCGACCAAATTACAATTTGAAACGTTTATTATCCATGCTGCTGATACGACGAGCCGCGCCCTTGCCTATTTCATCATTCAATGCTTTGTATAGTCTGTAGTTAATTAACATAGAGTTAAGTAATTAATTCCGTGAATTAAGTGGTATACAATAACAATACAGGGTGTGTCACCAGGAACTGCATCGATTGATATAGGGAAAGTACGCACCAGAAAATTTTAAACATT